TCTCCTGAAACATGTTTTAATCATGTCTTGGTGTTTATAACTGTGTAAACACATCCTGACCTTTTAAAGTACACTCTGTGACTGGAACTTGGCTGAATCCCAGCACTGGGAGATGGGAGGCACAAGAAAAACTTGATGCCACAAAAGGAAGTAAGACAGCCTCTCTGTCGATGTGGGAGTCGAACAAAGATGGATGGCAGACCCAACTGAGGTAATAATAAAAACTTTCTCTGTGCGGATGAAAAAGAAATCAAAAGTCAAAGTAATTTGAAGGAAAGAAAACAACAATTACTTCCTGCTAGGAGGTACTCGCATATCAGGTTTCTTTCTTTCCTCAGGTTTCTGAGGCCCCTTTGCACAGTCAGATTATGGATGAAATCTTCACAGGAAATCTAAAAGCGCCCTGAGAGCACAAATATCTCAGGAAACGGGCTTAATCCACCTCATCGTGCTGGTAGTCCTCCCTTTTCCTTTCCACTTACCGCTAGAAGTGAAAGACAAAATGAGGGTCGTTTTTTTTTCTGTCACTGAGAATGATGTTGCCTTCAACAGGAATCTGACTTCTTAATCTGCTAAATAAGGAGGCCACTGAAGCAACAGGGCAGTCTAAACAATCAGACGCATGCTAAAAAGAGAAATAAATTAAACAGCTTGTTTTCACCACGGTCCACCTTGACATCTGGAGGGCAGATGTGGTCTTCGGCTAAATGTTGTATTTGTGGATGCGAGTCAGTGTATCTGCGTGCATATGTTTCTCTTGTAACAACACGTGGTGTGCTGCAGCGTGACTTTAAAACCGATGTGACATTAATAGCAAGCACAGAACATCAGACACGTTACTTACTTTTATCAAGCAAGGAGGAGTGTGCAGCTCTCAAGACAGAAAGGTCAAACAGGGTGAGCATTTCTCACTAAAAAGACAATTCCTGTTTAGTACAAGTTGAGCTCCGGTCACTGCATCTATCAGCGAGGACGACTCTTAGAGGCCGGGTGCACGATGTTAAACGGTGCAAGAAACAGGTGTTTAGCTCATCAGGGCAGGTTGGAAATAAGACAGATTTGCTACTTTTTCTCTGGAGATGAAAGCAAAAGTAAGCACACGTGAAATATTAGTACCGGTAGGTCACAACAGAAGCAGGATGTCGGCCTCGGAAACACATGGATGTCTGCGCAGAACTGGAAAGCAAAAGTCATGTCTGGGTTGTTCCAGGTAAACGTGCTCACCTACACTGCAAAACAAAACAAAAAAGTTTTCCAGCCTTCCACAGCTTTCCAGGTTTTGGAGCCCATGGATTATTCATATTATACCACCCACGTTGGACTTGTTCTCTTCCCAAAGTCTGCTCCTCTGTTAAAAAAACAACCAGTGCCATTTATGTAATATGACCTATTGCTATGTTGTTATTGTTAAATGAACTCTCGCGGCCGTGGAAGACAACATCGATCATCCACACAGCATGTTTACACTCAAGTGACAAATTTGCGGTTATTGAGGTTACTTTAGCTGTGCAGGGAGGGAAAGGAGGAAATGTGGTGAAGTTCACACAGGGAGGAGGTCGGGGTGGACGGACGGGTTGACAAAAGACTGACCTTTAACCTGGGATACTGTTGTTTGCTCCCTGCTTCATACTGATGCCCAGCGCTGTTTGTTTAAACTGGTCTCTAACATTTACCATTTGTGTTTGTTGCGGTAAACATGTTGACGATTGACCTCTGACTTCAACACATTCTTGCGGTCGTTGAAGACGACATCAGTCATTTTGCTGAAGTTACAAATTTGCGGTTATTGAGGTTACTTTAGCTAGGCAGGGAGGGAAAGGATGGATGGGATGCAGCTGCAAAGCAAGAAAGTTCACACAGGGAGGATGTCGGGGTGGATGGACGGGTTGACAAAAGACTGACCTTTAACACAACAAACTGTTGTTTGCTTCCTGTTTCATCCTGATACTCAGCGCTGTTTGTTTTAACTGGTCTCTAAGGTTTAACATTTGTATTTATTGCTGTAAAAAAGATGATGACTGACCTCTGACCAGCAATTTATAACAGCTAGCAGGGGTGTTGAACTCAGTCTCATCCCGGGCCACATAAGCATTATGTTTGCCCTCGAAGGTCCGGTTGTAACTATAAGACTGTATAAATGTAATGACTCCTTAACATATTGTTAAATAATCGTCTCTGCATTTGATTATTATTTATTCTATGTACAAATATTGTGCATTTCTTTACCTAAAAGTAAAAGTAAAAGTAAGTGTTTTTATAAATTGCATTATATGACATTATATTCTATTGCGTAAATCTCATTAATTTATCAGATTAGGAAACATCTCTCGCGGGACGGATTCAACCCCCGTTTACCAGTAGACTTTAAATCAGAGGTTTAATCATTCTTTACTGTGGTTCAAAGATGTTTAATCACATTTATAACCAGCCAGTTAAATGTGAATTCTTCCACTTGATTACATTTTCCCATTGATTAACCTGATTAATGGGGAGACGAAAAGCTCTGCTGCAGTTTTAGTCAGTAACCGAAGCTTTGTTTTCCCCGAACCCGACACGTCTCTTCTTGAGTCGTGACCTCGCCTTTCGCGGTTGATTGTGTTGGTGAAAAAACACCTGAAGACAGAACCTGTCAGCGCTATTCAACTGCTTTTACTTGTCTGTGAATACGTACTACTGTAAATCCTGTTTGCGCTCATAAAGTCTTGTCAAAGGACATGCACTAGCTTGATTCCACTCGTGTGGGTTTCTTTGTTAACTCTTGTGAACCGAAAGCACTTGAAATGTGCTCAATATCTTTACAAAATATGTTCATACTTGAGAAAAAAAAAAAAAACAGATCTCATTTAAAAATCTTTATCTTTAGACCGTAATTACTGTGTGTCATGAACATAATAATTATATCTTTGTAATGAGTCATGACTTCTGAGCCCATGTTTCACTTGGAGTACTGCCTGATCCCACATTATAATGCTTTTATACATTACAGGAAATATTTGTCTTGGCTGGTGACTCAGGCTGGATCCGGGGCTACAGCACGTATGCAGCTCATTAGAGGTTTTGTTTGAGCAGTTTGGGGGTAAAATGTTAAAGCATGTTTAAGCAGCAGCAACTTTTAAAATAATAATGCAAATAAAGTTGTTAAAAAACATTTGGTTTCTAAAGCAACGTGAGCCAGAATCACCCGAGCCTGCACTCTATATGAGCATCTGAATGGATGAATTCAATTGAGTAATCATACGCCACATTACAGATTAATTTATTTTCGTTGCGTTACAAACAAACGCAGCCAAACGACACTGTTTTAAAGGTGAAAGTGTGATGGAATACATTTTAAAAATCCACTGCAGTAAAAGTGTAATCTTTCTGGTGCAAATGCAGAGACAACACATCATCGGATGGCCAAGAAAAACAAACTAAGACAAATCCCAGTGGAAAAACATCATCCATCAGGAAAATTACTCAACAGCCAGAGCGCAACAACAAGAGAGTGACGGACGCAGATAAAAGTTTGAGCACACTGAATCATCTTTTCTCAAAAACTGTTTTCGTCTTAGAAATAATACAGAGACAATCTTGCATTTACCGGGACTCGTTGTCATCTCAGGTTAAAAACCACCGGCTCTGGAAATAGAAGCTCTGACACGTTGCCAGAACACTTTAATATCGCGCAGTCCTCCCACATTCCTAATGCTCTCTTACGGAATCGTTTTCTTCCATTTGTGGTGGACCCCCGGAGTCCAGTCTAAACAATCTGATATGGTACAACTCACTCATTCTCCCTCTCCCCTCTCATACTTCTGGCATTACCTAAGCCTTCCAAGAGCCGGCCTTTGCCAAAAGAAGCATGACTTTGACATCTCAGCAGCTCCAGACATTCGTTCCACAAATTTAAAGGTTGAGAGGGGGTGGGGGGGGGCAACCTAAAACCTTCCTGCCCAGCAGACCAGACAGACTGCAGGGCTGGGTACAGCGCTGAGGTTTACCTTGGGTGTGTGTGTGCGCTGAGTTATGGGGTGTGGAGAGGTGCTACAACTTAGAAACCAACACTATATCTGTCTCCTCGCAGTCGGTTCCAGCTCCCCTCCAATTAACAATAAAATACAACTTTTAGAAGCGTGCACCGAGAGTCCGCAGAGTGTTTGTCCAAAGGTCATCTGCCTACCTGTCAGGACGTACAGCCTGCAACCCCCGAGAGGAGCAGCAGACCCTTTAATAGACTGGAATGGGGAGGAAAATGAGCTAAATGTCAAACAGAAATGTGCACAAACAGCTCACACACCAGCAGATCTCTCTCTCTCTCTCGCTCTCTGGACTTCAAAACAAACCCCAGCAGTAAAAAAAAAAAGAAAAAAAAAAGTGATGATTTGGTTGCTGGGGACGCATGAGAAAAATTCAGACATAATGAAAGGAATTTTCCAGGGAATCTCCTAAATATTTGGATGTTGTGAGAGGACGCCCTGGGTGGTTGTCTAATGATAACAGAGTAATAATTACAAGATGAGCGTATGACTTTGGAGGCATGTTATCAAATGTTTACAGTTTATCTTTGCCTCACGACACAGTCCTGTTTGTGATTCTGGTAAACCAAGAGTCTTCTAACCCCCAGAGACATGACAGGGAGATACTCTGCAGCTGCTCGGTGAAGGACACCAGCAGGATAGTTCCAATTTGTTTGAGATTTTGCACCAAGTGGTTTGATTCTATCTTTTCTAAAAAAAAATTCTAGTTTGATGTTATTGCTGCTGTATAATCACACATGCAGATTCTACTTTTGTGTGCCGTTACCACTCTGTTCCCTTTAAGATAAATGATTTTTTTTAAAAATGGCCAAAAAAAAAGTGGATTAAACAGCAATTTTTAGTATCATGCTAATTAACTTTTGAATAATTAAACAAATCGCGATTCAGCTGAGAAAAATAATCTCGAAAGACACCAGAAATGTGACAAATAAAATCATTTCTCCCCCCTCCTCAATCTTTTTCAACAAATCAGATACTCACACTGGAGTTGAGTCGGTTTTATTCCAAACGTCTCTCGTGCGGCCGCTCACGACCCATTGTGGCCACAATCACAGCGAGCTGACAGGTGTCCGTGCCAAACGTTCGGAGTAAATAAGCGGTCAGCCAGCCGGTGTATCCTCAGTGTGAACCGTGTTCATGTTGACAAGCGCCGGCGAGGTTCCGTCACGGACACGCGAGACTTTCCGGAGTCTCCATCAGACTGACTGAAGCTCCGCTGCGCGCAACGGAGAGGAGAGGAGGCGAAGGGGGAGGCGCGCATGAGGAGCATCACCGAAACCCAACGGCAGATCCGATGTTTCGATCCGATGTAGATTTCTACCTCGGAGTGACTTTATTGATGAGGTTTGACGCGCTGTTGTGATCGATGGTACAGGACTTACAGTCAAATCAAGCAAATGAGTGGAACCTGGTGACTTCTGCCAACTTTTGGGGTTATCAGCACCTCTTTAGTTGATTATCCTCGGTGGGGAAAACACACTTGATGACATTCAAGAATGAACAAATGATTCCCAGGAGCTAAATCCTTAACATTAAATACATCCATGTGTGAATCATTTACCGAAGATTCTATTACATTTTATGATTTATAAACCCTTGATTACACTCACTGATCATTTGTCTTGTAACACTGACTACCTACTGACTGGCAGCACTTTATTAACCTACATGTTACTGTTTAATGTTACTAAAAGGCTAATTCTTTGTATGTGAATACTTCACAATAAAACCTTTTGGACTGTGTGTCTGATTTTTTTTTAAAAACCCTTTCTGATCCTTTTCTGGCGATGGAGACCGATGGTTGGCACACAGTCAAAGCTAGAATTTTATTCATCTAAAAACATTCAGAGGAAGTTCTAGTAATGTTTTTAGTAGGAAGTTCTTATTTAGTTACCAGAATATTCTTCCTAAAGGCAGGATGAGTTCTCCAAAACTTTTCTCTAAAACTTAAATGAAAACATTTATCGATTGTTTCCCTGAGAGCATCTTTCCTTTGTGATCATGTAACATTGGGGCAACGCTTTACAGATAAACATTCTATAAAGTGGTACCTCGGCAACGCCCCCAGAACATCCTGAGAATATTGCAATCAAAATGTTCCACCTTTGATAACAAGTTTTATACAAACACATTCTGTCCTCTTTGAAAACATCTTTCTGCATTCTTAATACCGTCTTTAGACTTTGGATTACAACATAACCTTTAAAACACTATTAGGACTTGTCAGTGATGTTAGCGGGGCTGCAAGGTGGCGCAGTTGGTAGCACTGTTGCCTTGCAGCAAGAAGGTCGCTGGTTCGCTCCTGGTGGGGGCGCCGGGAACTTGCCTGGAGTTTGCATGTTCTCCCCGTGCAGCGTGGGTTCTCTCCGGGTTCTCCGGGTTCCTCCCACACAGTCCAAAAACATGTTGAGGTTAATTGGTGATTCTAAATTGTCTGTAGGTGTGAATGTGAGTGTGCTTGGTTGTCTGTCTCTAAGTGTAGCCCTGTGATAGACTGGTGACCTGTCCAGGGTGTCGCCTGCCTTCACCCTAAGTTGACTGGGATAGACTCCAGCCCCCCACGACCCCAGTGAGGATTAAGCGGTGTATAGATGATGGATGGATGGTGATGTTAGCCAAAGTTGTGGAACCGTTCCCTATTATCTGCCCCAGTGTCCCCACAGCACTTCACAGAGATCATATTAGACCTAAATGTTCTATTATGTGGGGTTTGGCCGCATCACTGTGATTTTACTTTGATGGACTGACCAGCCTCCTCTATCAGCGTCCATAGCAGCACCTCAGCTTTGATATTACTATTTAATCTGTGGTAGATGCTCACCACTTGTCCTTTTTTTTGAAGATGAAAAGATATTGATGTGAAACGCAGCGATTTTGGGGAATGTTTGAAGGTGAGCTTCTGAAGTGTAACGCTCACAAGCTTTCATTATATGATTTCTACCGGCTTTTTAGGCTTTGTTCTCCGGGACAAACTGCTCTCACGCTGGATCGACAAACGCTGATATTGGTGAGAGAGATGTTGCGCAACTCTTCACGATTACGTAACATCCATATCTTAGCGTTACAGTCGTCGTGTGCACACGACAGGTGATTATTGCTCGTCCTTAAATGAGGTCATGATGTTTTTGTGCAGAATTTTTTCTTCATTAGTTGTCATGACTCACTCGGTGTGAGTGGGAGTCAGTAGGCCTAATGAAAAAAACACAAGCTCTGTTGAAAGGCAAGCGAACCGCAGGTCCATGCAAAAATGGGACGATGGTATTCATCACTTTGTTTGTAAAACACAGACCGCATACTCATTTCATTTATCCCTTCTGAAAGTGGGTGGGTGTGTTTTGCCGTTTATGCTTTGCCATCTCAAGATTCTGTGGAACGGGGAAAAAAAAGAAGCTGAAAAAAGTCACTTTTTGACAAGTTTCAGTTTCCCAGAAGTGTCACTTTTACTGTAGTAATTATCCCACAGCCTGTCTCATCTAGTTTACCTCGGGGGAACTGTGTTTTACATTTCTTAGAGTTTTGAGAGCAGGCATGGATTTGATGTAAGCTGAGCATATGTGAGGCAATGTGAGATGACTAAGCACTGCTGTGTCAGTGATCACTGCAGTGTTATTTACTAAAACCACAACATAGCTTGTGTTTCCTGATCTATGGAGGCTGCAGCTGGTTAAGAAACAAACCATTGTTCCTTGATTCTGCTTAAAACGGCCATTTTTCTCATGTTTTATGTAACTGAGAGGTTATTAAACTCCATTGCAATGTGCACTTTCAGCACTTTCGGTATATTGAAGATCCTCTCTGCTCACTTTTTTTTTTCTTTACCTTGCTGACATGTCCATATTGGATTTTTTTATATACTGAAAAACACATCTTGAGAAAAATATGTAGCATTTCCACCTTGAAACTGATGAAATTCTCAAAACTACAGATTCAGATCTCTGTGCACTTCACAAACTTAAGAAGCAAAAGGTCTAAATACGTAACTTTGATGAGTTTTAATTTGATGAGGTTTAACTAAATGACCAGAGAGCGACTTCTAAATAAAGACACCACCAAGCAACAATATATCCAAAAATGTCAAGCCCCACTCTCAGGCTTATCAGCATCGATGGTTAAAAAACGATCACGATGGAATGAAATCCTTCCATTTGACGATACATCACACAAGACAGAGGCCTCTCCATTCATTGACGCATTTCCTCCTCTTTACGGCAGGGAAATTAATTCTCTTGTCGAGATCCAACCCCCTCACCATTCGTCAAGACATCTGTTTCTTGCAGGGAGTAAACAGGGCAGGAAAAAAAAGAGAGAGAGAGAGAGAAATGAAACGAAGTGTCGAGGGCTGCCATGATGTTCATCTATGCTGCTCCCACCGGTTGCAACTTTAAAGAGGTAAGATGGTTCATTTCTGACAAGTGAAAGAGCCTGCCCTGGGAAACTGACGCTGCTATAAGAAGATAAAGTCCCATTTGAATAAACTGCCTCCCCTTTAGAGCACATCCATATGCATGAGCGTGCGAGTCTAATTGCTGTTAATTCCTGTTAAATTGATTGTGATTTATTCACGTCTCTTGGAGATGCACAAGCTGTGTGTATGAAGGGGAGTTCGGCAGTTAGACTTCCTGCAGTGAATGAAGCCGTTTTCATCAGTCTGAATGCGTCTAATGTGGTTAATGTTGATTGTTATGCTCGTATTCAAACACACAGTTAGGCTTCGTTATGTTATCAGTCTTGGTGCATCTCTGCCAAGAGGTTTAGCCACACTAGCAATGTGGTTTCAGGGATGGACCAAGGTGAAATATCCCAACAACTACTGAATAGATAGACTTCAATAATTCCCTAGACTGGGATAAATAAAGTATTTTTCTATTCTATTCTATTCTATTCTATTCTATTCTATTCTATTCTAGATTGCCTTGGAGATATAGAATAGTGAGTTTCAGCTCAGTTTTAACTGCCAAATTTACAGTACTGGTTCATTCTCGGGCTGCAAGGTGGATCAGTGGTTAGCATCGTTGCCTCGCAGCAAGAAGGTCACCGGTTCGGGATCTTTCTGCGTGGAGTTTGCATGTTCTCCCTGTGCAGCGTGGGTTCTCTCCGGGTTCTCCAGCTTCCTCCCACAAGTCCAAAAACATGCTGAGGTTAATTGGTGATTCTAAATTGTCTGTAGGTGTGAATGTGAGTGTGCTTGGTTGTCTGTCTCTAAGTGTAGCCCTGTGATAGACTGGTGACCTGTCCAGGGTGTCCCCTGCCTTTGCCCTGCGACCCTAGTGAAGATTCAGCGGTGTATAGATAATGGATGGATGGATAGATGGTTCACTCTCAACACTCTCATAGTGACGTTTTTAGCCTCAGCAGGCAGCCATCTGCAACAAAGATGTTCTAAAAAAAAATAAATAAAAAAAGCCACTGCTCGCTCTACAGGTTAGCAATTAGTAAATCAGTGGCAAACATGATTGATCATTGGCTTTTAAAAAGACAGAAATGTTAACAGCTGGTTGAGACCAAATGCAGAGCTAAAAGAGAGCAAATATTGGATTTGCTAGGTGAAAACAATTATGACTCCATATACATGATAACTATTACTAACATGTTCACCTTCTTTCTGCAGGTGACATGCTTTTTTTAATCTACTTTTGTTATTTTCCCTTTGTTAATTTAACTTAAATAAGAATGAATCTGCAGCCCCATTTCATGCATTTGCAATTAACACTGATTCACACTCTAAGGCTTCCTATAAAGAACATTATGACATCATCTTCAGCTTTGTGCATCCTCATATATTTTGGAATCTGCTGAATTACACCACAAAAACACACAGCCCAGACCTGCAAGCTCCTCTCTGTCATCTCTGGAAAGTTGACACTTTTTTCAAAGGGCTGCAGAGGTACTCCAGGAAGTTACTGGAGATCCTCCAAGGGAAGCAAAGCTCATTAAAGCAGATTTTTTTTTCCCTGCCGTATACCGCTTCCACCCAGCATTAAGCTTATGAGTCAAATATATGGATGTCAGCTCACCTTGGAGTGTTTACTATCCCAGCGCAGAGGCATTCAGATTTCATCAGTAAACAGAAGCTCGTGATGGCAAAAAAAAACATTGTGCTGTTCTCTTTTCTGAATTTAACAGCAGCAACAGATTTCAGGAGAATGCCATTAGTTCAGTCAGCAGCGAGTGCGAGATAATGTTCTCTAATGATGGTGTCGGAGCTGTGT